GTCCCCTATCATGCCCAGGTCCCAGTGAGACTCCAGGTGGACAGAGCCGTCGGAAAGGATCAGTCTAGCTTGGCGAAGCCTCCAATGGTGACTTTCCTCTCCGGCTTGGTGCCCACAGGCTCCTGCAGCTGTACGGCGCCACCCCCTATGAAGCAGAAGGCAGGGCACACAGGCCCTGAGCAGTCCAGGGGGCACTCGAGGAGCCCCCGGAAGGACACAGCATCCAGGAAAGAGACTCGACCCCGCTCATAGTCCAAACAGATACCCAGGCGGGGTGGCAGGGGCACTGTGCAGCTGGCAGCCGGGCCGTCCCTCCCTGTCAGCCCTGCATTTGAACTTGCTCCAGACCCCAGCAGGATCTTGCCCATGCCGATGGTTAGGAAAGCAAAGGGTGGTAACGCCTCCACGGTGGCATCCTCTGCACCGCTGTCATGCCCGCTGTCCGGGTCATACCTGCGGAAGGGGGAGTTGGGTAGGAGGATGTTGGGGGTGGAATAAGGGAGCCAGGCACAGGAGACCAGGAGGATGAGATGTTGGGAGGATGGAATGCTGGGAGCGGGAGGTGGAACAAATTGACTTTGGATCGAAGAGACAGGGTTCAGAGTAGAGGGTTGGGGGCTTGGTTTGGTGGGAAAGGGTTATTGAAAGGAAAGCACATTGATGAGAGATATTGGAGAAAAGGGAAGGTAAGTATTTGCACGGCACACTAAAGAAATATGGTAGCTGGATATAGTCGCACATGCCTGTAATCCCAGTGACTCTAGAGGCTGAGGATTACAAATTTGAGGCCAGCCTCAGCAACTTAACAAGACTCCCTATTTCAAATTTTTAAAAAGTGAAAAAGAGCTGGGTGCAATGGTGCATGCCTGTAATCCCAGGGGCTCAGGAGGCTGAAGCAGGAGAATCTCAAGTTTGAAACCAACCGCAGTAACTTAGCAAGGCCCTCAGCAACTAGAGATACCCTGTCTCAAAATTAAAAATAAAAAGGGCTGGAGATGTGGTAAAGCATCCCTGGGTTCAATCCCCTGATATCGAATAAAGAAAATAAGAAATAAAAAGGGGGCTGGGTGTACAGCTCAGAGACAGAGTACCTCTGAGTTAAATTCCTAGTACTCCCCACACCAAATGTGGTGCTTATCAAGATAGAAAGATGTTGAGAAAAATGGTGTTCAGGAAATCATGCTGGTACTTGGGATTAACCCAGGGTGCTTTTAACACTAAGCTATATCTCCAGTCCTTTTTTATTTTTCATTTTGAGACAGGGTCTTGCTAAATTGCTTAAGGTCTTGCTAAATTGCTGAGGTTGGCCATGAATTTGTGATTCTCCTCTTTTAGCCTCTCAAGTCGCTGGGATTACAGGCATGTGCTACTGTGCCTGGCTGGGAAGAGGGTTTTGAGAGTTAGAAAGGATGAGGGGTTAGTGATTAAGATGGGGGAAGGTATGGCTGGGTGCAGTGGTGCATGCCTGTAACCCCAGTGGCGTGGGAGACTGAGACAAGAAGATCATGAGTTCAAATCCAACCTCAGCAAGGTAGCAAGGCCCTAAGCAGCTTAATGAGAACCTTGTCTCAAAATAAAACATTAAAAGGGCTAGGAATGTGGCTCAGTGGTTAAGCGCCCCTGAGTTCAATCCCTGGTTTAAAAAAAAAAAAAAGATGGGGGAGGGAAAGGGCTTGTAGAAATGAGATGTTTAAGGAAAGAATTGAGAAAAGATGGTGGTGAAGGAAGTTCTGGAGGGAAAAAGTTTCATGGAGAAAATAGGGCGCTAGAAAGGACATGAGGATGTGGAGATGTGGGGTACTGGTCTTGAATGACAGACAGAAGCAAGTGATAATGGCTTCCCCTTCCCTCGTCCCCTTCCCCAGCCACACACCCTGAAAACCAATCCTCAAAGACCCTTGTGCTGAACCCACAGCCTCCCAGCCTGGCTCCTCTGTTCCCGCTGCTTCCTTCCCAGCCCCATCACGGCAATTCTGGGTACTGCGCTTGCTACCTCTGCCCTGTGCCTGGCTCCCACCCAGGGTCCCCGTTCCCTCCAGAGGGGCCAGACCTGGGGCTGATCACATCCGGGGCACCCTGGAAGCTTTCCTGAAGCTTGCTCTCCAGCCCGACGCCCACCTTGACCAGGTAGGAGGCAGGGTCTACGGCACAGGCCCAGTAGCTGCGGCCCTGGGTCACAGCCACATCGCCCAGGACCACATCCACACTCAGGTGACAGCCAGTCAGCAGCCGCTCAGCAGCCAGCAGCAGGGGCAGCCCGGGGACGCTCCGCACTGCTCGCTGGTCCTTGCTGATAGCCAGCCGCTCGCGGCTCGCACCCCAGCGGCCATCGAGGAAGAAGTGCAGAACTGGAACAGGGAGGAGGGTTGAGACAGAAGGAAGAATTCAGGAACAAACGCTGGCACTGGGGACAGTGAGGTGTGAGCACAAGACACTGGGAGATTTCAGAACAGGGAACAACCTCTCAGGGTGTGCAGTTACCAAGAAAAGGTAGGGAAACTCAGGAGAACGGACCTGGGGAACTGAAATGAGGCTCATACGAGAAAACGAAAGGGACATTCCAAGTGGAACCGGGCTCCAGGAAGTTTCACTGGTGACTAGTGAACAAGAACCAGAGCCCCAGACCTGACCGACTCACAAGGCCTCCTCCAACCTCCACCCCGTGGTAGGCCCTGGGGACAGTCGGGGGCTCACACCTGCCTCTGTACCCAACCCTCCCTCTCTGCCTTTGCTTTGGAGGTAAGTGTCCCCTATCATGCCCAGGTCCCAGCAGGCAAACTGTTTTCTGGAGTCACTTTCCTGACATTTATTGAACTATGAGCCAGAAACTGTGCTGTCTTCACCAGTGTCGCCTCAGAACAGTCAAATTCTCCCACAACTCCATGAAGCGTCGTTATTGTTGTTATTATTCTGTGGGGGACTGGGATTGAACCCAGGAGACCACTGAACTATAGCCTCAGCTCTTGTAATTCCTTTTTTTTTCTTTTCTCCATTTTGAGACAGGATTTTGTTAAGTTGATCAGGCTGACCTCAAATTTATGATCCTCCTCCCTCAGCCTCTCAAATTGCTGCAATTATAGACACGCACTATCATGCCTGGCAGTATTGTTGTCCCCTGTAGAACAGGACTCTGAAGTTCAGAGAGGGTGAATAACTTGTTGAAAGGCACACAGCAAGAGTTAGATCTGGGATTAGAATACAAGAGGTCTAGCTCCAGAGTATGAATGCACACGACCAACAGTAATAAACCATCCCTCTAATCTCAGTTTATGAGGCAGGAGGATCACAAGTTTGAGGCCAGCCTGGACAACTTTGCAAGACTCTGTCTCAATTTTTTTTTTTATAATTTATTTCTTAGTTTTCAGTGGACACAACATCTATATATATATATATTTTAGTTGTAGCTGGGCCCAATATCTTTATTTTAATTTTTTTTTATATGGTGCTGAGGATTGAACCCAGCGTCTCATGCATGCTAGGCGAGTGCTTTATGGCTGAGCCACAATCCCA